TGCTCTAGAAACTGGAACAACTCAATCAGTATCCAGATTTTAACAACTACCTGATTTTTGTTCTTACAAAATTAAAATCTGAAGGTAAGTAAGTTTATGTTGAGAGAAATATTTTCCAGTGTTTTGAAGACTTTAGAAAATACCATATTTTATGCCAACAGCAGGGCTGCATAGTTTTAGCAATCACGCATCTCCCTTGAACTATGGGAAAATACTGGGTGTTTGGAATTAATTCCTCAAAGGATTTTGTTTTTTAAGAACCTCCTGCTTTTATAGTTGTGGGGTGGGCAAACTTAAAGTAACAACTGGATGCTATTAAACATCTAAATGTTGTTAATTAGGTGTTTGTAAAATAAATCCCCTTTGCAAATGAAAGGAATGGTACAAAGTCTACTCTGGTGTTTTAAGTTCTATGACGTGGTTGTCATAGATTGCTATCTTTCAAAACAGATTTTGGTGCACAGTTTAGTAAAACAGTATGTGTTTATTGGAAACTATATAAGCCAAAAAAATTACTTTTAATCCTGTCTTCCAGATATGATTGTTTTATCTCTTGAACTGTAGGTTCCCACCCTCTTGTATGTGTTGTATACCGTTTTAAAAAATTCTTAACCCAGCATGTATCATTCTCTTCATTGACTTTTCTAATACCTTTCCAAAAACCTTAAAGCTATTAACTGAGACACTTCTGCCCTCACGGAGCTTAAGTTATAGTGTGGAACATCCTTCATAGTATTGTTTGAATGTTCAGAATTCCATCCTGGAACATGGCCAGGCACATAGACGCCCTCAGATATTACTGAGTGACTGTCTAGCCTCAAAATGAAAGTGCTGTGCCCTATTCAAGGATAAGTGTTTCAGAAGCAGTAGTGCAACTAGTACAAAACACTTGAGTTGGGAAATTAGTTTTCGACTCTGACACAAAGTCACTTAGCTTTTTTTCCCCCTCATTTAACTTCTCTTGCTTCTTTCAGCTATAAAATGCCGGTGTTATACTACCAGACCATCCATAAGGTTCAGCTCCAAGATCTCTTGAGTCAATGGTCTTAATCTATAGTAAAATCTCATATTTATTTAGATTTTGATAAATCTATATATAGCATAGTGATTTAATTGGAATTCGTTTCAAATGAAGTTCTCCTTAATTTGCTGGGTTTAATTTTGTGATCAAGGGAAGTATAACATTTAAAACTTTCAATCCAAAGTTTTAAGAAACTAGAAACTCCTTCTGTATATCTTTTATCTCAGCAATCAGTATTCCCAGTTTATGTGTTTATGATAC